TCGTTGCCTCTGACGATCAATCAACCGAGACCGGCCAGGAGGATGGGGAGTCGGACGTACATGTTACTGGAGATGACAAGAAGTCCCAAGCTTCCACCGAAGTACCAATGTCCAAGCTTTCATCCGCAATCGACGCGGACTTCAGAGATCTTGTCAAGCAGTCCGTTGCGATGAACACGACTGCTTTCGAAACGGAGGAGAACGGAAAGCAGGTATTTGTAGGCACGAAAACCGAGACCGCCCTGCTCGACTGGGCTCGCCGATGCTTTGCCCTTCAGCAAATTGCCATCGAACGCGAAAACTGCCCTGTTCAGCAGCTCTTCCCATTCAACTCGAAGCGAAAGGCCATGGGTGCCGTTGTGCGCCTCCCGAACAACAAGTTCCGTTTCTTCGTCAAGGGCGCCCCTGAGATCCTTTTGGGACAATGCACCAGCGCCGTCTCCGACCCTACGAAGTCCCCTACGACTGCCTCAATGGCATCGGATCAGCAGGAGCACATCCGTCAAATCATTACCGACTACGCCCGTCGCTCCCTCCGCACGATTGCCCTTGGCTACCGCGACTTCGAGCAGTGGCCTCCCGAGAACGCTCGCAAGGAGGAAGGCTCCCAGAACATCGAGTTCTCCAGTATCTTCAAGAACCTGACGTGGCTCGGTGTTGTAGGTATCCAGGATCCCGTCCGTGCTGGCGTTCCGAAGGCCGTGGAGGACTGCCGGACCGCCTCTGTCTCCGTCAAGATGGTCACCGGTGACAATGTCGAGACGGCGAAAGCCATCGCCAAGGACTGCGGCATTCTGACAGAGAAGGGCAAGGTTATGGAGGGAATCGAGTTCCGCCGCATGGACGATCGTGAGCGTGTCAACATTGTTCGAGATCTGTGTGTGTTGGCACGATCTAGCCCCGAAGACAAGAGAATTCTGGTCAAGGCTTTGCGAAGTTTGGGCGAGGTTGTTGCCGTCACTGGCGACGGCACGAACGATGCGCCTGCGTTGAAGTCTGCGGATGTTGGGTTCTCCATGGGCATCACCGGAACTGAAGTCGCCAAGGAAGCCTCCGATATCATCTTGATGGACGATAACTTCTCGTCAATCGTCAAGGCCATGGCTTGGGGCCGCGCCATCAACGATGCTGTCAAGAAGTTCTTGCAGTTCCAGATCACAGTCAACATCACTGCTGTCGTTCTCACCTTTGTCACCGCTGTGGGCAGCGAGACCCAAGAGCCCGTTCTGAACGCCGTCCAGCTTCTCTGGGTTAACCTCATCATGGATACCTTCGCCGCCCTCGCCCTCGCTACCGATCCTCCTACCGAGAGCATGCTCCACCGCAAGCCCGAGGCTAAGACCGCCGCGTTGATCAACACGCCCATGTGGAAGATGATTATCGGCCAGTCCATCTACCAGCTCATCGTCACCCTGATCCTCCACTTTGTCGGCCCCAGCTTCCTCAACTACCCTACTGGCCAGCAAAAGACGCTCGTCTTCAACGTCTTCGTCTTTATGCAAATCTTCAAGCTGATCAACTCCAGACGCATCGACAATAACCTCAACATTTTCGAGGGCATTACCAAGAACAAGCTCTTCGCTCTCATGATGTCCATCATGGCCGGCGGCCAGGTCCTTATCGTGTTCGTCGGCGGCGCCGCGTTCAAGGTCGAGAAGCTCAATGGACCGCAATGGGGCATCTCCATCGTCCTCGGCATCATCTCCATCCCCGTCGGTGTCCTTATCCGCCTCTTCCCCGACTCGTGGTTCGTCGCCATCGTCAGTCCCCTTGCGTGGGTGTGGTCCAAGATCCCCAAGTGGAAGCGCAAGAAGAAGACGGACGAGGAGGACAGCGAGCACCTAGGCGCCGGCGGCGTCAAGGATGCCCTGCTCGAGATCAGAGACGATCTCGCCTTCCTCAAGCGCATCAAGGGAGGAAGAATCAGCCAGATCAGCGAAGTTATCATGAAGCCCCGCGAGTACCGTGAGAGAACACGCAGCCGAAGCGGGTCCAGATCGTCGAGCAGACATAGCGCGTCGCCGATGAAGGCCGCCCTGGGCATGCCCGGTATCTTGGCGGCTAGTGTTGGAGGCTTGTCGCCTGTTGAGCGACCGGTGTCGCACGACAGCCGGAACACAGATGGAGAACGCGATCAGGAGGAGAGTCGCAAAGACTGAGAGATTTGAGAAGAACCCGGGGTAGGTCCTGGCCACCAGGACTTTCCCCGGTGAGCCTCTCAATTTGCATTGGGTGCCCCTTCGGTGTGAGGGGCATCCAGCCCTGTTTGTCTATCTGAGCGTGTGTTGGCTTTTTTGTTTTCTTCTACCCTTCAATGTTACGAATGAACCGAACCGATCGAGATCCGACCTGTACTCTTGCCCTTATTTTCCTTGGACCGATCGAGAGATACGACATAACCACCCCCTGTACGATAAATTTTACCATCAAAACCAAAAGATATCCACACGCCTGATAGACCCGACGATCGTGTACGGTGCGAGACCGAGAGAAAGAGAAATAGTTAATCCAATGATACCAATCTTACATCATTCAATGACTTTATGCAAATCACGCAAGTGACTAAGTGTGTGTGGGGCAGAGAGGTGTCCCATCTACAATTATCTAGTCGAAATAATCCACTTGTATATAAAAAAAGACGTCTGGGGAGATAACATGCAACGTCACCTCCAGCGAGTAGAGATGTAACAGATGTATGTATATTTACGTAGGTGGAAGGGAGAACAGCCGGCCCCCCTTATACAAACGACTAAAACACCACCGAAAAAGGATATCAACATTGACAGAAATAGCAAAAGAGTTCACCCCCCCGGTGCTGAACTGGGGGCTACATCTCTGGCGCTCATGCTGGGAGTTTTTCTGGGTGCTCAATCCGGGACTCGAACTCGGTTACTCGTATGCGCTTAGCCTGTCGTCGAGTAGGCTGGTTGGCGATTTTGATTGTCGACCCTAAACCACTCCACCACCCAGCCAGTTTGACCTGACCCGTCGACCTAGACGGGCGCCTGCTGGCTGGTGACTGGAATGGACTTGGAGGGGTATATGTAGGGCTTCTGCCTGCCTGGTGCGTATTCTGGTCGGGCGGGCGGGAATGGAAGATTATGGGATGAAGGTTTTGGGCAGGTACGGTTGGCTTCGCCGTGCCTGCCCTCCGGGTACGGTTGTCGGGAAGAAGTGGTCAGCCTATGGGTCTGAGGTTAGAACGTGGGAAAGACACCGCGGCTGTGTAAGTGCGTATTTGATTTACCGTGTCATTCTTAGCGGAGAAGTGATGGCGTGGTGCTTTACAGAATTAGATATTTCCCCAGGTAGTAGTGCTCTTAACGGCCTACAATAAGACTACCAAACAAACATCAAGTACTCCTTCTACTTTCATTACTAGCAACTCAACATCATATATACGCAGCTTCTTTAAGGTGCAAAGGGGCGTTCATTAAAGAGAATATCTTTAATATGACTATTGATTCTATGCTCTCCATATTTGAGAGGACTAGGTAGCTAGCTAGTACCTCTAGACTATAGTCCTGCTCCGTTGTGGTTGACTATATAAATCAACAGGATATCACAGGCTGAAGGATCTTTCTTACCAGACGCGCCATTGAGAAGTTCGAGTCGGTTCTTTTGGAGATAGAGGGACTTGAGGTGATTAGCGTGGCAGGGAGCAACTATAGTTCTCTGCGATGGGCGAAGGCGGCAGTGAATCGAAGCATGAGTACACCCTGACGGTCTCAATTTGGATATGATTCACCATGGAATAAGCGTCTAGAGGCGTCGGTAGGCCCATGGTGGCCAAAGGAGCCTACCTGTTTCGGTCTGCGAGAGATGCCATCCTATTCACAGAATCTCAGGCTAAAGCAGAGATCCAACTTTTGTCGTCCAAAACGAGGATATGCTTACATGGCTGTAGAAAAGATGGGTCCTGTGGTATGGCGACTGGCTTTTATCAAATTCGACTGACTCGGCTAGATATGTCATGTGAAAGCAGAATGCATATTACGAGTGATGGAGTAGTTTTCTGAGCTCCTCCTACATGCCGTCAATAAGATCAAACTAAATATTTTCAAAACTCAAACTCTGGCCAACTTTGAATCTCAGCAACAAGATCCGCAAAATCCTCATCTCCCGCCTCTGCCCTCTCCTTGAACGCTGCGTAATTCTCCTCAGCCCACGCAAGCTCATCGCCAGCCGATGGTGTCGGGAAACTGGCTTTCAACCCGGCGATGAGCTCCCCGGTAATAAAGACCGACCTCAGTTCCAGATCCTGAGGCGGCAGCTTGCCTCCCTCATCTACCGTCTCCGGGTGCACGATTTGAGCCCACGCGGCTCGGATCTCGTAGCATAACGAGCTGAAGTCCTCCTGCGTCCGGGAGGATCCCCGGCGGACGCGTCCGACGATGCGGTTTGATTTGCGCTGGGGTTTGCGATTTGAGAATTAGTTGATGTGATTGTCTACATCCGGAAGAGTGGGGTCTCACTTGTTTCCCGCCGACGTAGGTCGGGGTATTCGATGAGTCTGTGAAGATGACGTTGATGAACATTCTCGGGACGGTGAACTTGGTGCTGTGTATTGCGGTGATGGATTCGGCGAGCTGATCCCTCTGGCCTTGGCTTAGAGGGGTGGCGTGAGATACCTCGTAGAGAGGCATTGTGTGTAAGTCCCGTCAAATGTTGCTGGATACAATCACGTCTTACTAGAGCTATGTTCTCTTCTTGGTTGAGGGGTTATGCTAGTTAGAAAACTTCACGAAGAGGATGTTTTGGGGGAATGGGATAACGACTTTGGGTCTGTTTCATTTGACACTAATGAAGATCATATGTAATCATCCATCGGGAATTACGCCGCGGCCTGGCAGCTGACAACAACCCCGCAGAAACCCTTCCGAAGCAAAGTACGGTCGGATTCGGGGAGAGTAATCACAAAACCGCAAAAATGTGAAGATGTAGAGTGTTTTCATCGCAGAGATGATTTTCGCACCTTGAAGATATGCACGAGATGAGCTTTATTCCTGGCGATAATGAACGTCATAGAGTGTGATGCCCCTCTTGTCCATAACTGCGCGGTTGACTTGGATATCATATTTCAGGGCCACTTTCATTATAGCTGTATCAATAGTACTACAAGCAACCAATATCCACGGAAATATAAGAGAGAAAACGGATGTCAAGATTTCACTTCAGCCCACCACTCAATAAGATGCTCTGGCCAGTCAAATATCCAGTCTTACACAGCATCAACACAACATTAGCACACTCCTGCGGCGTCCCAAGCCGTCCGACAGGAATATTCTTCACATCACCAGGCGTGCCCTCCACGCGCTTCTCATCGGGAATCATTCCCGTGTCGCCAATCATAGCCGGCGCGACGTCGTTGAGCGTGACACCGTCCTTGGCATGCTTGGACGCGAGGTTCTTCATGAGGCCCGTCATGCCGGCCTTGCTCGCGGCGTAGTGACAGCCGTTGATGCCACCTCCAATAGCCGAGATGGACGACACAAAGACGATGCGGCCCCAGCCCTGGGAGACCATGTGCGGCATGGCGAGCTTGCACAGCAAGAAGGAGGCGCGGAGGTTGATGTTGATGGTGAAGTCGAACTCTTCGAGGGAAATGTTTTCCAGGTAGGGGTTGGCTTTGTTGTTGAATCCTGCCGTGCCGGCGTTGGATACGAGTATATCGGGGGTGTGGCCGTGTTCATCCATGATATTCTTAAAGAGTTTTTCGATGTCCGTGGTGGAAGACATATCCACTACATGGCATGTAACGTCAGTGTCGTCTTCTGTTGAGTTCCGAAGCTTAGTAGCGAGGTCTGTAATTTTGGCCAAGGTCTTCTCGGATGAACATGTCAGGGCTAGACGCGCGCCATTTTTGAAGAGCTCTCGAGCGCAGGCTCCTCCGATTCTGAGGTTGTCAGGTACGAACTCGCTGAAGGAGGTTGTCGCCTCAACTCACCCACCAGAGGCACCCGTGACCAACGCCAGTCTGCCTCTGAGTTCATTATCCACATGAGCCATAGTGACCGATTGGCCTCCACTTGAGCGACTATTGAAGTCGAAGCCTCCTAAGGGATAAAATCCCCGAGGTATTCCACCGTGATATGCTGATGGCAGTTCTTGTTCCTTGTCGGTTGGTGTGGTTGCAGCTGGGAGGTTATGCAAGGGAAGCTGGATTGTACCCCGCCATCAGTTGCCCCACTGTAGCTTTATTACCCCGCGATCTCTAATGATGTGAACGGCAAAGGGAACTCGAAGAGCTTGTGTTTCCGATTTCGGATGATATCGAGGAGGGTGTTTGGTGGGAGTAAGTAGCCGTAATTAGTGTCAAGTGTGCACCGTCTTTCATATGAGAATTGAACTTCAGATTCTCACTTTAGTATGTGATTCCAGACTGAAACATTCAGATGGAGGCCCAGCATTCTACCTGTCAGCCAGGCCCTTTCACATCGGAAGTAGTATGCCTGGTCGACTCGAAATGGGCTGGCTGTCTCATATTCCTCATGGAATTTGAGCAACTGTCTTGTTGCTAAGAAAGTCTGCCTTGTCTCTTGTGCATGTGCCCCATCCTACAAACAACTCCGATGTAAGGCTGTCCTTTTGGCAATGGGATAAGACAGTATGAGCTGCTGGGGGACACTTGTCCACAAACAGGCCAATACTAACACGTTGGATCTGCGGTGACTGACCGCTCCGTGATGGTGTCATAATCCACGTAACCTTTAGGTAATCCCCAGTCCAAAAGAGTGTCCATGAGTTGCTTGGTCAAACAGGAATTGAAGATGGGAAGCTGGGCGTTGGCCCCTTTAATGTGGCTTGAGAGCACCGAGTGGATCTCAAGCCCCACTATTCTCGGGACAACTGCCACAAATCCCAGTGCTTATTCTTATCGCGCCAATGGAAAGCTTATCGTGTGGTCAGCCTTGCATTTGGGGGGAAGGCGCCACAACTTTTTTTTCTTACAGCTGTCCTCTTCGCCAGGACAGGTAATCCACTAGAAGGTACCCTGCCCGAGGACGACCTGGACCCAGTCTGGGGGGGAGAATGGTACCGAACCCAATAGAGGACACCTTCACGAATCTCCATTCAACGACTCTCCGTTGTTCATATTTGTGCTCCTGGGTCGCCATTGTCTCGAGGAACCTCTCCTTCTTTTTTCGAACTCTCCTCTTTTGTCTTTGGGTTTTCCTCGCTCTCTAGATTTACAATATTCCTGCGTCTCGAGTCTCATACTGGGACTTGTCTAACAATCCGTGTTAGTTTCGACCTCTGTCACTCCCACACGAACCTGCCTAGACGACCCTCCACAGCGCCATTGGGCGCAAACCATACACGATGGCGCAACGAACATTCTCGCCATTGACAGTAGTCCTTGGCTGCGTCTTCTTCTTTTCCGCACACGTCTTTGCCGTCTCCGCCGTCCTCGGCGTTGATCTCGGTACCGAGTACATCAAAGCTGCCCTCGTCAAGCCCGGTATTCCTCTCGACATTGTCCTGACCAAGGACTCACGGCGCAAGGAAATCTCCGCCGTCACCTTCAAGCCTCTCCAGAGCGGCCCCAAGTCCGGATCCTACCCCGAGAGACTCTACGGCTCCGACGCCATTGCCCTCTCCGCCCGCTTTCCTCACGATGTCTACCCCAACCTGAAGACCCTCCTCGGTCTCTCCGTCGACGACCCGATTGTCCAACAATACGCTGCCCGGCACCCAGCCCTGCAGCTCGAGAAGAACGAGGCGCGAGGAACCGCTGCTTTCAAGAGCAAGGTCTTTACCGAGGAAGAGGAGGCATGGCTGGTTGAGGAGCTCTTGGCCATGGAGCTGCAGAGCATCCAGAAGAACGCCGAGGCTGCTGCTGGAGCTGGTACCTCTGTCCGCTCCATGGTCCTGACGGTCCCTCCTTACTTCACAACCGAGGAGAAGCGCGCCATCCAAGCCGCCGCTGATCTCTCTGGTCTCAAGGTCCTCAGTCTCATCAGCGACGGTCTCGCCGTTGGTCTCAACTACGCCACTTCCCGCCAGTTCCCCAACATCAACGAGGGAGGCAAGCCTGAGTATCACCTGGTCTTCGACATGGGTGCCGGTTCCGCCAAGGCCACTGTCATGAAGTTCCAGGGCCGTACGGTCAAGGATGTTGGCAAGTTCAACAAGACCATCCAGGAGGTTTCCGTCATCGGCACTGGCTGGGACAGGACTCTGGGCGGTGACACACTCAACTACCTCATTGTCGACGACATGGTCGCCCAGTTTGTCGAGTCCAAGGGTGGAAAGAAGATCTCTGCCGATGCCGACAAGGTCAAGGCCCATGGCCGCGCCATCGCGAAGCTGACCAAGGAGGCGGAGCGTTTGCGCCATGTCCTCAGCGCCAACCAGCAGGCCGGCGCGAGCTTCGAGGGGCTCTACGAGGATGTCGACTTCAAGTACAAGCTCACCCGGTCTGATTTCGAGAAGATGGCCGAGACACACGCCTTTCGTGCTGAAGCCGTTCTCATGAGAGCTCTGACGGCTGCTCAGCTGGAGCTCTCTGACCTGACCTCTGTCATTCTCCACGGCGGCGCTTCCCGAACACCCTTTGTTCAGAAGCAGCTGGAGCAAGCCGTTGGTTCCGCCGAGAAGCTTCGCAGCAACGTCAACTCTGACGAGGCCGCCGTATTCGGTGCCGGTTTCCGCGCTGCCGAGTTGAGCCCTAGCTTCCGTGTCAAGGAGATTCGCATTTCCGAGGGCGCCAACTACGCCTCTGGCATGAAGTGGACCAACAACAAGAACAAGCTCCAGCACCAGCGCCTGTGGTCTCCCGTCTCCCCTCAGGGCGGCGTTCCCAAGGACGTCACCTTTACCAACCACGAGGACTTTGATGTCACTTTCTACCAGTACGTTGAGGCTGCCGAGAAGGATGTCAAGGTTTTCTCTACCAAGAACCTTACCGCCTCGGTCGCGGAGCTGAAGGAGAAGTACTCCTGCGTTGACAGCGATATTCACTTCAAGGTCGGCGTCAAGCTGAGCAGTGAGAGCGGCGAGGTTGAGGTCACCAAAGCTACCGTTGAGTGCGAGGCCGAGGCCCCCGAGAAGGAGGGCTTTGTCGACGGCGTCAAGAACCTGTTCGGCTTTGGCAACAAGAAGGGAGACCAGAAGCCTCTTGATGGAGAGGAGGACGAAGAGTCTTCAACCACGGGATCTGAGTCCTCTACCACTGCCTCGACCAAGACGGAGTCTACCACCGCCTCCTCGTCGCCCGTTCCCAGTGACGCAGCGGCCGATGGCAAGGAGCCCGCCCCCAAGAAGAAGGAGCTCGTCACCATCAACGTCGAATTCACCCTTGAGAAGGCCGGTCTGCCTGAGCTTTCCCGTGAGGAGCTTGTCAAGTCTAAGGACCGCCTCAAGGCCTTTGAGACTTCAGACAAGGCCCGCCGCCTGAGAGAGGAGGCTCTCAACCAGCTCGAGGGTTTCACCTACAAGGTCCGCGATCTCCTCGAGAGCGATTCCTTCATCGCAGCCTCCACCGCCGAGGAGCGTGCCACTTTGGAGAAGAAGAACAGCGAGGCAAGTGACTGGCTGTACGAGGAGGGCGCCGACGCGTCCCGCGATGAGCTCAAGAAGAAGTACAAGGAGCTTAACGACCCCGTCACCAAGATCCAGAAGAGAAGTGAGGAGTCCGAGAAGCGCCCTGAGCTCATCAAGGCTCTCAAGGAAGCCCTCAACTCCACCCAGACCTTTGTCGGCACAATCAGGAAGCAGATTGAAGAGTACGATGAGTGGCACGCCTCAGCAGCCACCGAGCCTTCTTCCAGCACCTCTACCGAGACCCCCTCAGCAACTCCCTCTGGCGACTTTGACGGTCTCGAGGACGAGGACTCAACCGGCAAGGAACGCACGATGGAGGACGTCGTGAAGGAGAAGGGCCCCGTCCCGCCCCTGTACAAGCGTGAGGACATCGAAGTCGTCGAGGACGTCTACGAGACCACCAGCAAGTGGCTCAATGAGATGGAAAAGAAGCAGGACGCCCTTGCCGCGACTGCGGACCCCGTCCTCCTTGTCAAGGATCTCCAGGCCAAGCGTGACAAGCTCGACAAGGCGGGCATGGACCTGGCGATGAAGGGCGTCAAGAACATGGAGGGCAAGACCAAGAAGGCAAGCAAGGCTGCCAAGGCGGCTAAGAAGACAAAGTCCACCGCCACCGCCTCGACCTCAGCGACCGCCTCTCCCGAGGACGGCAAGAAGTCTACTACCACCATCCCTTCCAAGAGTTCAACCGCCGGTGAAGCCCCCGCTGGCCGGACCGTCGAGCTTCCCGGTGGCGGAAGCTACGTTCAGTTTGGCGGCAGCGACGGCGACACGCCCAGCGAGGCGGAGATTGAGGAAATTCTCAAGAAGTTTGACCAGTCTCAGCAGGCCCAGCAGGCCGCCGCCAAGGAGCAGGAGCAGGATGATGCGCTGGAGCACGACGAGCTTTAGAGACACTTGGATGGATTGTAGATCGGGGGAGAGAGTTGAAGTTTTTTTTGCGCATACCATACCTAGGCGTTTCTACAGATGAAATGAAATTACAGACAAATCAAGATGACTGCCAACTTGCCTTTCAAATCGTGACTGTATTCTCGTGCGGGCTGAGTGACAACGAGGCGGACAACGTCATGAACGTCAGTTTCGCCTCAACTAGTACGTTTCTCCTACCTCGATCTCGACGGATCCCGCTGTTCACATGGTCCAGCAGCAGCAGCAGGAACCCTTCAAATCGTGCCACATGAGAGTCGAGTCAGGCAGCTGAATACCCGAGGACAAATGGCCACGAGCAAAGCAAACTCGGCCATTGAAGCGCAGGGTTTTGCGCAATCGCGAATAATCATCGGTAACGGTGAGCCAGTCCTTCAATCTTTTCAACATCATCAAACGTTCTACAAAGGATAGCACCGCCACCTCATCTTGCCACCGCCCGCCTCGTTCCCTGAGTGCTTTACGTTCGCAATCTCATGATCAGAAGGTTGTACCGAACTCGTTACTACGACAGTGGACGAGTAAACAAGACA